ACGTGCATCAAAAATGTGTAATGTTTTTACACACACAAACATACTATTAATATGTAAATTCGACCAATAGCCTTTACTACTGACGTTCCAATCATCGTCATGGCGTGGCGTATGTAAATATGTATATTTTTGTAGAGCTACTTAAATGCTAAAGCGCCCCCAAGCTAGAGTGCCCGTGAGATCCACTACGACGTGTTGTAACAATTACTGTACGTGAGGTGCTCAAATTAAGTAGAAAAAAGGGTGCGAATGTCTGTCTGTTAAATTGAAAGTGAAAAATAGTTTATAAATAGTATTATTAGTTTATATACATTTTTATAGTTTAATAAGAAAATACTAAATATTCAAACCAAATAGACACATTCCGAGAGATTCTAGTGCATTTTGTAAACTTTTTAGAATTCCAAAAGCAAGCACTATTCTTCCTCTTCTTCTGTTCTTCCTGAGACTGACTCTTCTCTTCTTTTTCCACTTCTTTTCCTTCTTCATAAGCACCAAACTGATCTTTCCTTCAACGGAGTGAAGATGGTCTTTCATTTTCTTTGCTACGACCAGCAGCTATTGCATCCAAAAGTTTCTGAGCTGGGCCGGAAGGCATATTAATATCGACGTAAGTCTCGTATAGTTCATATTTACATCGTTTGCGGTTGTTGTTGTCGTAGCGGGGTTCTTTAACCCCGCTTAAGAGCACAAGATTCCCAAACAGATGCGAGTGAGAAAACACCAACGCTCTCGATCAAGAAGCAACAGACGGCTAGAAGCTCGATGGAAGGGTGGGTTGCAGAGTTTATTCTCCCGTGCTTTCAGTAAGCATGAGCATGAGAATACCGGATGATTGCTGCGTTTTTCAAGCGGAACTCTTCGCAATCATGGAGGCCGCGGAATGGTTGCACATATCTACGGCAGCAGAACAATCAGTAACAATCTACTCCCATAGTCAGGCTGCAATCAGATATCTTCAATGTAACGGTAGCACGTCAAAAGTGGCCATATATAGTAGAAATACTCTCAACAAACTCTCAACGAAATACCGTACTGCCGTGATCTTGGTACCTGGTCACAGGAACATCCCAGACAATTGCATTACAGACGAACTAGCAAGAGAAGGAACCTTTCTATCGACGATAAAACACGCACATGATGCTGGTTTACCTCTGTCCACGGCTAAGTACAAGCTTAAACTGGACTTCACCAGGGAAGCTGTTGTTGTTGTTGTAGCCGCGAAATTATTTTTAGGGAATATTGTGGGAGTGACAATCCTTGGCCGAATAAAAATCCGGCTCGTTTGGGTATAAAGATCCGACTGTCGCGGGAAATATTGGATTTTAGTCGCCTCTTACGACAGGCATGCCTTACCGCGGGTAAATTCTTGAACCTCTAACCAGGGAAGCTGACTCAAGATGGTTGAACGAGATCATGTGTAACTTGACCAGACAGCTATGGCCGTATTTGGACGAGAAAAAATCTCCATTAGCATAGCGGGAATAATAACTGGAATATGTTTAATGGGGCTTTACGGGATTAGGATGGGATTTTTTTACGATTTCTGCCGCGGCTGTGAGACCGAAGCAGAGGAGAAGCCCATCGAGCACTAACTCTGCCACTGTCCAGCCTTGACATCCAAGTTTCTTGGGAAACACTTCTTCGACTGTTTCGCCGAGTTGGCCTCAGTGAGCATTCGAAATCTTGTTTTCTATATAAAGCCCACGAAATGGTTCGATCATTTGAGAAGGTGAAGGCAGGAGCCTCAGCGGTATAACAATGGGCATATTGGCCTAAGCGTGCTGAGATTTTTGACCAACAGCCGCATTAACTCAACTCAACTCAACGGAGGTCCCAGGAAACGATGCAAAGAAGTGGTAACGTGCTAGTTCTCATTGCGTGTAGTTCATACATAAGTTAGGTATGTCGATAGGTAGAAGTTTCCAGTATTAGACGGGTCTCTCGAGGTAGCTCGAGCTCTTCGGCCGGTAGTGCTTAGATTCCGAGAAAACTGTTCTTTTACTGGAAGAGAGTTCATTAAGGTGTTGACGAACACTCGGTAACTATCATTTAAAGCCTGTCGGAGCGCCGTTCTGTGTAGTGGTTCTTGTCTATGGTACTGAATTGAGTTGCTATTAACTAGTACTCCCTTCCTGATGTGCTTGGATGCAGGTTTAGCCTCGTGTAAATGTCTGTTGGGTTGCTCCCGATGGTAACATTGCTTGCACGGTATAAAATTATGCTCCTTAAGTCGTAGCATAGATGTTTCGCTGTGCACATATCGCTCCCTTACTCGGACATATATATATATATATATATATAATTGGCCCTTTGTAACCACTGAAGCGATTTTCGGCCGAGCTCTCTCTCCATTTGGTGGTTCTTGTGCTTTCGTCTTGATGTTGTTGACATTCCTTGCCGAGGGGTCGTACCAGGATTTGAACCCGGACCATGCGAATGGTAGTACACAATGCTAACCACTCGGCTACCGCGGTCGGTACTCTGTAATTCTTGTGGCTTTTTTATCTTTCATATCGAGCACGAGCCAATACTACTTCGTTTAGCTGATGAGAAGGATAATCGAGGATTTCGTAGGTTGTAGTTGAATTTGTGGTGAAAGGAAGAAGTTGTTCTCACGGCCTTACGATAAATATGAGAAACTTGAGAAATCGCTGTCCTCTGTATCGGCGTCTACATTTATTTTGAAGGGCTAAAAAAAACATTGAAGGTCTATGTCATTCCTTTCTTAGAGATGCTTTCTCCAAAAACTCGTCATAAGGCCTGCTTTCCTTTCATTTTCGTCGAGTTTTCTAGAACTGTTTTTAAGGCGTTTTTTCTTCTCTCGGTTGACACTTTTCGGGGAGGATATTATTTTTTCTGCCTGCTTTGTCACTGCTCTTTGTCTTCGGCGATAAAAAAAAACTCTTGTCTGCATGTTTGTAAAACTTTCCCGCTCTCTTTCTCTCTCTCTCTCTCTCTCTCTCTGCTGTCTTGTCATTGAACTTTAATTCATGTCATGAAACGTTGCTTTAACCCTTCTTAAGCCTCCACCGAAGTCACACCATTTTCGGTTGGTGTTTTGTGCAATTTTTTCCAAGCAAAGTAAACATTGACAATTGACAACTGACAGCTGACAGCTGACAGATATGTCGCCACATCCCTTCATACAATAACAATGCCAACACTTCAAAACGAGTACCCCTCTATAAATAGGCGTCGAGTATGTTTGTAAATAAATCTTTACACGCGCCCGCATGTGATCAGCTCATAAAATAGTTGAATGAAATCAGCGCATTAGGGGTGTGAGATCCATTGATGTTAATGTCTGTCACAATTTTGCAGTTTATGACGCCAATTGACATCCTTTACCTACTACATATATACATAGTAGGTATGTATGTATGTATATATATATCTAGTGCAATTCGCTCGCTTAATTGAAACATTCTTAAACACTTTTTAATATCTAAATTAGTATTGTTTATAAGCAATTGGAAATGATAAGCGAACAGGCCGATTTACAATATTTATTTTTCATATATATTTACATAGATATATACATTGCTGGTTTGTAGTCCCTTAAAAATATACATTCAACGCCTGCACTCTCATTACACTTTAATTAATGCGATTCCCGTCAAGTGTTTTGTGATTTATATTCGATCAATTTCATTTCGAAAAATTATACAAAGAGATTAGGTTGATACATACATATGTATGTATGTCTGATTAGCAAATGCAAATTAATATACTCGTACATACATTGTTTATGACAGTTTTATAACAACATTTAGTGATGATCTAGGCTGAACGATCTGAACTTGAATTAATTTTGCATAAAATTTGTATAAATATTATTTAAATCTGTGCATATTTAATTATAGAGTAACCTTGACTCATAGTTGAGGTTAGGCAGAAAAAATGGAAAAAAATATTTATTTCTTTTTTTATATGGAAAATCTCTAAAAGTTATACAATATATAATACTCTGTTTACATTTGATGAATTTAATTATTGGTATGGGGTTGTTCATGATTTGAAAAGTGCTGAGATGTATTTTGACATCTGTCAAACTTAACTGTCAAACTAAGTATGTTTTGTTTTAGTTAAAAGTCAGGCATTTATGAAAATAGAGTTTATGGTGCATATAATCATCCAACCACTCCAGTAATTGATATAATTTTAAAGAAATTCGCGGTGAACGGATCGGCTCCAGACATTGAATGTGCCAAAAAGTGGTCGAAAACTATCGAATTCGCCAAAGGTTGTTATTGCAAAAATTAAAAATAATTTAACAGAATATCAGTGAGTATAAGCAATCATTTGATGGGTCAATTTGACATGCTATAAAAATACGTCTGGATAAAATCATTACTTTCGATATATCGATAAACTTTCCAAAAAAATTTTAGTTCTAAAGCGATAAAGCAACACATATAGGTTATGAAAAATACTTAAAGTTAAATAATTAATTTGTAAAATATATATTTAATTAATATAAACCTACAGAAACCAAAAATGACACAATTATTGCAGTTTCTATGAATTTGATAAATCTATAATTTTTGTTTAGTATAAATCGATAAATGAATATTTATTATATGGCATACGAATGATATAAAATTAAATTGTGTTTTATTTTTTTTTATGAATGCTGTATTAATTATTAATATAACAAACCAAGCGTGGAATAATTTCAGCTTCTATGAATTCGCTTTGAAAAAATCATACACCGACAAATCTGTTTTTTTTTTTGTTTTTTTTTTCAAATCGTTAAATGATCACATATAATATATAGAAAAAATAATTTTAGTTAAATTAATAAAATTTCTTAATTTTATAAATATTATAAAATCGTAATTAGGCAAAATATAATACTGCAGCACTGACAGTGCGTATGAGTGACATTTTAGCTGACTGACTGATGATGTTTTCATTATAATTATTTTTTTCTATTTCCTTTTTACACCATTTATTTATATTAATTATTTTCTCTCTTTTTCCTTATTTTATTGCAGACAAAGCATAGTACTCGTTACCTTTAACTGCATTTTAAATGAAAATTTTGTAAAAATAAAACCAAAAAAAGGAACGATTATTGCCACAACCCGCAAGCAAAACAATCAAAATATATCGCCAATTACAAGAATAAAAAATCGATAGTTAAAATGCCTGGGAAAGATTTATTCACGCGCTGTCAACCGATACAGCTATACATTGTATTGTCAATGTCGATAGCATATTTCATCGTACAATTGGTACTCAGTCACATAACACATGCATTAACATTATTAATGGCATCCTATCATATGTTATGTAACATATTCGCGCTCACCGGTTGCATAGTAACAATTAAGGTAAGCGTATAATGAGAATAAGAAGAAAAACAAGTAATTTTGATATTTTTTTTATCAGTGGAAAATCACGGCAGTGTTCTGACGTAAAAACTCTAATTTGTTTTGACATTTACAAAACTAGAGGATTAAATTTCACAAATAACAAATTCTCACTGATTTATAAAGCATTTAAGAGAATTAAGTGTTAAAATTTAAAATTTTCTAAATAAATATAAACAATTTGATAAAAAACTATTTAAATTTATGATTTATGACAAACAGTAAATTAGCAAATCACTCACAATAAACCATATCTGGCTTTTTATTTATTTTATTTTAATGGGCTTTACAGCGATTACTTTTCTTGACAGCTAGACTTACACATCATAGATGTTTGTAGATAAAAGATTTAAACATTAGCATAAAATTTAAGCTCATTTCATTGACACCTGCCAAAAGTAATGCTAAATATAATTTTCACTTTTGACAGCTGTCAATTAAACTCATCATAAAATCGATTTAAATTCGATAACAACTAATAATAGGTAAAGTAAAAAGTAATTCATTATACTTGCATTATATTTAAGGCCTTATTTACCATAGTTAGAAGTATTCATTTTAAATCTTTTGTGCACCATGTGGGTCGATAACTTTTTGCCATATTGATGTCACTCACATAGAAACCCTTGTCCAATCAACATTCATAGGCTTCTCTTGAAACTAATTCTTCACCAGCCAAATTATTCGTTACAGACAAGAACAGATGTTAATCACTTAATACACGGTCCGTGCTGTAAGCATAAGAACCATCCAACCAAGCTCTCTGTGCTTCTGACGAGTCGTTATCGATGTGTGTGTGGCCTGGAGTAGTCCTGACGGAACACAATTTGCTTGCTTTTGGCCAAAGCTGGGCGCTTCTGGACAATGACTTCCTTCACACGGTCCAAATGCTAACAGTAAAGATCCGTATTAAAGGTTTGGCCGTAGGGCAGCAGCTTAAACTGGATGGTCCCACCTTGCTGGCCGTCAACACTGTCTGGGAGACCGTTTGTGGCGGCTCACTGCTGTTGTTCATCACTAGTCACCCTCCGCTTCAGAAATGGCTCGATATCATTCAGCAGCCGTTCGTAGATGAAAATTCGGTCCATAAGATTTTTGCTCGTTTACTCATATGGCAGCCATGCATGTACCTTCTTCGTGTATCCAGCCTTTTTCAAGTGGTTCTAAACTTTTTTATTTGTGACACGCTTTGTGACTGAGCACTCAAAACAGCGCTCGCATGTTGGCCACACTCGACGATTACCATTATTTTATCGACATTCTCGACCGCAAGGTCTTCCATACTATAGATCACATTTTACATCAAAATGACCGCAACAAAATCGACGAAACCGAAATTGTGCATGATTGACTGTTACAGTACATACATACATTTACAGTTTTCGCGCGAATAAATTATAAATCAAATTATCGTTGCGAAACATTATTTAGTTCCTCTTTCATGTGCACTTTTACTTATCTAATCTTTGAAAATATAAATCACCTAGCAATCCATCAATATGTATTGAAAATATGCCTATAATAAAGCACCAGTAAATTTGCTATACTTATCTGTACTAATAAACCAACACTTATTGACTTATTGACAGTATGATTAAATTTGGTTTCATTTAACCTGCGTCAACTGTAGTTGCTAGTGTGCAAAAACTCAATTTGATAGCTAAAAATATACATTATAAAAGAAAAACATTTTGCGGTTGTTCCAAACAAACTGACATACGCAATTCTGTTGTAATCAAAAATAAAAATTGTGGAAGAAATATGAGAAAAAAAATCCATAACACGACAATATAAATCAGCTGCTAGGTTATGTTAGGTCGTGGTGACTACCGATCTCCACATAGGCCTGAACTGACACTCTATTGAACATCATTAGACCCCTGACTTTGGCATAAGCTATCTTCGAGAGACTCTCCAGCAGTAGGATCGTACAGTACAGTCATATAAGCGCGATCACCAGCCTTGCAGTTTCTGCAGCATCTGCTTTAAGGAACCTCTAGACCCTCTGCAAGTCGGGATTAGAACTACTTTAGACTTGTGCCCTCTTTCTAAGGAGTATATATGTATGTATGTATCTCATGATCTTTTAAATCCATTTTGGATTTGCGTCAAGCGGTCATTTCTGCTGTTCATCTATAAATTCCTTGAGAAACAACTTGCAAGTGGTACAAAATGCATACCAAGGCGTTCTCAATCGATGGCTTATTAGCTGCCAACTGCCTAAGAAAATAATTTAAGAAAATAACGTAAATTTTCACAACGCTTCCCATTCAAGTGTCCCCACCCAAAAAAAAAAAAAGCCACACACTTAAAGCGTTCATTGGCCCATCAAACGATTAAATTTTCATTAAAATGTAGTTATTTTATATGTCATAGCACACGATATGTTTGTTTGTTTGTATAATTAACGTTCAAGGTCAACAAAATTACACGCCAAATTACAATTTAATATAAATGATTAACTTTGAGAGCAATCAAATTAAACCCAAAGCAATTATGAACGGCAGAGCCAATAACAGAAAACTGTAATAAAAATAACGGCGCCTACCAAAAATGCAAACGGATCGACAGTGTTGCAATTCCACAAAGAAAATATTTAGCATAATGTATATGTGCATATGTATGTATAAGCACATATGTAGTGTGTGATACAAGAAACTGTGATTTTATATTCAACAAATTTATTTAAAATTAAAAAAAACCAAAAAAATGCTTTACAAGCAATTTGCATGTAGTATCGATATAACTGAAATTGATACACCTACCTACAATCGATTACAACGATTACCAGTTTGTTATCCAGCTGTAACACTTGGCCGACCACATAACCAGAAATCGTATGCTAACCGCAGCGGTGACACCTGATCAATCAGGCACGCGCCAATTTGTGCGTGAAATTCCGACAAGTGGCGAAGAGCCAATACACTCCGCATCTCTCTGAATAAATACATAAGCATACAAATTGGAAAAAAAAAAACGAAGCCGGCGCATATGTTACATAATAAAAACTACATTTATATGGGAATGCGCGAAATGAAAGCAAAAATAATGCTATTAATTGAATGTATATATGCACATATATACATATATATATATATATATATACATATGTATCAGCGAATTGTTGCATCAATCGCTGCAGCGAAATGAATCGACAAATATCGGGAAATAGGCGCAAAAAGTAAAAAAGTTGTATCGCCACCAGCTGAAAACTGGATTTTTGAAGTGGCTACAATATATTGTATGTAGTTGTTTTAATTTCATATTCGTATATATTTATATATATTTACGTCGACTTGGTATGTCAGTGGCAGGGGAAAAACTCGTTCAGTGTGTCAACTTACAATTTCAGAAGTGGTACGCCAATGTGGGCAATGCAGCTGTCTTCCGCGCATCCTAAGTTGAAAAATTTACGCTTCACTATCAAAATTCTACAAATGGATGTCGAGTTGAAGAGAGAAGCGAAACGCATTTGCTAATTCGCTGAATAAGAAAGAAGCCGAAATGTGTGAGAATGAAGAGTTCAATAGACAAGCTGGCCGACAGAGGTAATGTGCGAAAACTCTATGTAAAAATGAGGTGAAGTTCGGAAGATTTCAAGACTGGATCATATCCATGCTTTAACGCAAAATGCGATTTTGTGATTGATGTTTAAATTACACTGAGTTCATGGAGCTTCTCCACATTGCATTGTGTACATTAATGAAACGAAGAAACCAAATCGGCAGGAGCTGATGAATTACGAACTGCAGTGATGACATGCCGAGGGGTTTGATATCTTTTGACTTTGTCTACGTCAATTAAGAAGAAGAAGAACACTATAGTTTAAGCGTTTTTTTTTTTTTGGTTATTTAAACTAATATTTTTTATTATTTTTTAAATATAGTTTGATTTGATGGGTTCGAAATCAATTAATGTTGTTGTTTAGTCGCCTGCTACCACAGGCATAGCTTACCACGTGTAAATTCTTGGTTCCGTAACCCGCAGGGATAGGCAAACAACTTATCCAGAACGCCTGCTCCTATTATCAAATTCCAGAAAAGAACCTGGAGCTAAGTTATTCATTTGTACATCTATTATTATCTTATTTTATGCGTATTTTCAATTAGTATTAAACTGTATATACTTCATATAAATAAACTTTTACAGGTATTTTCTCTCTGTGTATGCACTCACACGCAATTGCTTAATACTTACGATCTTAACTTGCAAAGTACGCAAACAGACCTGATTGCCAAAAGCTGCGATAACCGATAAATAACGATAACATTAAATCAGTTACACATCTTTAAAAGCAAAGAACAGAGAATGTTTAATAAATATTAAATTTTCTCTGCAAAGAATCAAAACAAACAGTGCAAAATGGATAGAAAGCGAAACCATTGTTCATTGTCGTTAAAACAGAAATTAGAAATAATCAAAGCGGTGGCCGATAATAAACACAGTAAAAACAAATTAGCAAAGTTGTATAAGTGTAATATATCCACAATAAATCGTATAATAAAAAATCAAGAGTCTTATAAAAAAGTCGCACAGAATGGCAATCTGCAACGAAAACGCCAAAGAAAAGGTATACATGGCAAATTGGAAGACGCCTTGTATACATGGTTTCAACAAAATAAAAACGATAACGACCCAAGACTAATAACAAATGCAGAATTGCTTAAGAAGGCTAAAGAGTTGGCACTGTTATTAGAGGATGATTTCGAACCTTGCTGTAATTGGCTGTTCAGATGGAGGAAAAGGCATGGCATTGACGTTGCGAATTGTAAAAGTGTAATCGACAGCAAGGAAGAAAGCAAAAAACAATCTTCCAGCAACTCAGACATTGGTGCATCTGAAAATAATTCCGACTCCTCATTGCTTACAACAACGTGTAAAAAAGAATGTGTAAATTTTGTTGAAAGCATGTCAAGCTGTGAAGAAAATTCTACCACGCAAGATTTCAGACACGAATTTGAAAATGCTGCTCCTTTCTCAATTTCGCAAATTGCTAGGAATAATGACACTGTCGTAAGCGAAAATAGACAAGATAATTATGCACCTTCAATAAATGAAGCATTACAAGCGCTGCTGGTTGTTAAGCGTTATTGCATACTAAATGACATGGAAATCGGTACACTATTTAATATAGAAGAGAAAATATTGCAGCACTGGAAAATCAGAAGGAGTAAATAAGTTAAATTATTAAATGGAGTCCTAAGACCAATGAAATTTCCTTCTAATGTAAAGTATTAATTATTTATTGTAATACTTTGTAATAAGCGCATTATATAACTAATTTTATTATTTACTTTAATATGCTTTTTCGTATTCATTTGTGTTCATACAAAAAAAAATTTATTTTTGATCATCACTTTTTTCATTGCAGCATAGCAAAAAACATGATGAAAACCCTTATGAGCAATATATCAGTTCAACCTACGCTGGCAGTGAGAGCAATTTATCCAACGGCCCAAATAAGGACAAAATCATTGTAGTAAATATGTCTGGCGCACCTTCGCCTTCAGCTACTCGTCATCGCCGTGAAATGAAATTACGCAACACATTTGGTTGGACACGTATCGATATACTGACCATGTTGATCGTCTTCATCATACTTGCATCGCTATCGTTTTCATTGGTTGTGGAGGCGTTACAGACACTCGTGCACATCGATCATCAAGACACAATGCACTTGCCAGTTATTGTAATGATACTCGGCTTTGCTGGTCTAATTTTAAATGGTTTGACATATTTACTGATCGGTGGTTATACAATGCATCAGGGTAGCTTTTTACATGTGACACCTAGTGGTGATGTGGTCTTGGAACGTGTATTATCACCGAGCGAGGAATTAAAAGCCGACGAACGACAGTTGTCCAAACCAAGTAACGAGAATATTGAAGCTGATCGACAATTAAAGGATGATCTCAAAGCCGAAATTGGACAATTACACTACGTGCCAAGGCGGCAAGGTGCCGTGGAGATGTTACGTGATGTCTCGAGCACAATATTTGTAATAGTCTGCGCTTTTATAGTGAACATGGCTGAAGATGAGCAGCATACTGCCAAATTTATCGATCCTGTGCTGTCGCTTTTTTCCTGCGTTTTATTGGTATCGCTGAGTTATCCATACAGTAAGCATACTCATATATATGCTTGCCAATAACATGATAAACTTTTCCTTTTTCTTTACTCAAACAGTGAAACAATCTTGTCTCATACTCTTACAAACTATACCTGGCTCAATTAATATGGAAGATTTCGAACGTACGTTGGTCATGAAATTCCCCGAAATTGTCAGTTATCACGATCTGCATATTTGGCAATTGTCGGCACATAAATCAGTAGCCACCGTACATATAATGTTCCAGAACCCACGACTCTATACAAAAATCATTGCTGATGTACGCGCTTATTTTCAGGATCGTGGCATTACTGAGGTGACAATACAGCCAGAATTTCAAAATGCTAAATCACCGTCCGTAGAGTGCTTAGTGCAGTGTAGTGCCAGCGATTGTGTGGATAAGGTATGTTGTAAGGATTCACGCACAGATCTGCGTGAGATAATCTGCACATCACCAAATGGTAAAAACGATGGGCATTTACATAAACCTGACAATTGCGAAAATAAAGTGAGACAAGCTGAACCAATTTACATTAAAGATGCTGTTAATAACAAGACTGAGCAAATAGAACAAGAGCAAGAAATGCATAGAGTGGAAGAGGTTGCGGAAAATATAAATGAGGATGTAGCGTTGAAAGATGATCAAATCGAAACAACGACCGCTAAAATGCCGATCGAAGTTCATACAATTGATAAAAAGGAACAAATTACTCTTAATGAAGGCGAAAAAGGAAAAACAATTAGTGATATTAGTTGATTGTTTTCCATTTTTCTAACTGTGAAGCTACATTCAAGCTGATTTAAACCAAATATTACATTTTTTATAACTGCATAGTTCATAAACAATTTCAGGATGTTAGCATAAGTTAATTTTATAGTCTTGATACTGTATTGAAGAAATTAAAATTTACTTGTAGTACATGAAAAACCCCAAAAAGGTTTTGAGTTCGTTAAGCTGAATAAGTACAAGAAAAATAATTTAATTTTAAGCTTTTAATACTAATGGTCAATGAGAGACGTTGTGCTTGTCATACCTATATGTTGAAATTATTTTCGTATTAAATAACATTTATACCTACAAAAGTATGTATACTAAAGTTGTCAAAAGCACGACTTGTAAACGACACAAACAAATAAAATTTAAGAAAACATTACCAAAAAGCATTGTTTTAGTGCAACAAAAGAATTTAAGTAGGCAAACGTTAATAAGTACCTTGCGTGTTCCAAAGAGTTGATGCGGCTGTTCATCAGTGACTGACACACTCAACCTATAGGCCCATTGAAATTGTGTCTTTCAACACAAACACCATAACTCCATTAAATACGCGGAATAATAAAAATAAATTCTGAATAAAAAGTTCGCTTCAAAATTCGATTATTTTTGTTCACCAATGCCCCTTACAATCACATTTTTCCAGAATTTGGCGCTAGCAAATACGTTAACGGTGGAAATAAAGAAAACTATCAGCAAACAGGAAGTTGTCATACTCTCAATATGGCAACATTAATATTTGTAATTGCAACATAATAGCGCAAGCACAATATGGACGTCGCGTCTTTTGCATTTGAGGGTGTTACCATATATCAACATATAATATAACGACAAGGCTTTGTATGAAATAACATACCATTAGCTCTTTAAAATAAATCTCAAAGCAGAATTATTCAAAATAACTTCATCATTTAATTTAAAGTGCAATAAGTATAATTTTGGTCATACATAAGTGTATATTATTTTTCTTTTTCTATAAAAACTAACCTTCTTCATCTAAAAAATTGAAATTTTTTTTCAATTATTCCTTAAATTTCATTCACCTAAGTGTGCACATGTTGAGAATTCATCAACAGTCAGCCATTTGGCAGCGTCGTACCTTCACCATACGTTTTGGACACGGCTGACCACCATTTCTAGGTTCCTTTATTACATGCCTATTACGATTCGAATAGCCTGCGCCACAGCTTACACTGCATTCAGACCAATTAGACCATTCAGACATTACACAATCGACAGTTTGATAGGTCGGTGCTTGATGCGAGCTTGATTGAGTTCGAATGGTAGCCGGAGGGCGGCTGTAAGTGGGTTCAACAGATTCTAATTGTTTGGGTGAGATTATCAATTTTAATGAATATACACACATATTTTTTCAATCTATGCTTACGCAACATGCTGCAGGCGTTTAAGCAATCGCGTTCGGTAAGGAAGTTATTACGATTACCGCGACAACCGCCATAGGTGAAACTCTCGCAGCGACCGCTCACGTGATTGTAGGCATAACGTTGGTAAGAACTACGGCAAGGACCGCTATCATAATGCTGCACACAAATATCTGAAACAATAATAGGGTTGTTAGTAATTATCACTCCTCTCCTCTTTGACTCTACCTTTGGCCATATCCATGTTAATGGTGCAGTCTTGTGGCACGTTACATTCCTTTTGCTGATTCAGCTCCATGCGTTTCGTACAGTTGTCCTTCATTGCTCCATTCTCCAATAGTAAAAGCCGTGTACGGATAGTAACACCACGTCCACAAGTAGCAGTGCATGGACTCCAGTCACTCCATTGTGTTGTCGGACACATAGGATCAGGCAGTTCAACTTCTTCGAACTTACAATCAGGACGCATACATTTTTGTTTGTCAACTATGGTAATATGGGGACAGTGTTTGCGTCCAGTGTGGTCGATGAATGTACGTGTGCGCATTGTAATACCAATACCACAACTAGCCGAACACTCGGACCAAACACTCCATGCGGTGGTTTTGCAAATACCAGCACCTTCGCCATCATCCGATACCAAAGAGATAGCATGTGCCAAATTTTCACCTTCATCATCATCATCTTGTGGTTGATCGCTAACAAGTTAAGAGGTTGTGTAGTTGGCTTTAACTATATTCACCGAAGAAGGTTACTAATGAAGTGAGCTTACTTGCATTCTGCTATTGGTGCTGCGCACATCTCCTTCGATACCGTCTGACGGGAACAATCGGCAGCAGCGGCCGCTTCCGGGTTAACATATTCCCGCGTGCGTTTACGTATTCCCTTGCCGCAGGTGACGGAGCATGGACTCCACTCACTGTACGGCGTTAAATGACATTCCGCTGCAAAGTTCCAAATTATTAAATTTACTAAGAACTAAGAAGAGCAAAGTTATTTCTTGGCGTACGTCTAATATCCTGTTCTTCAACATCATCAGAGACATCCAATTGTAAAGCTTCCAAAAAGTTGTCGTCACAGCTTCTCGAGATTATCTTTTCACGTCTGATATATAATTTGGCCAAAGGTGTCATATCACTGCTACTAGGATTATAGAAGGGAGAACGTGGGTCCTCCGGATACATAGTTGTAATGCGGTACATGCGCTCTCGCGGTTGGGTCTCTGCATTCGGTGACTATAATGGATATTTTTTGTAAGCCACTTGACATAGTCGTGAGATATATATGTATATTACCATGTAACTAATGCCACTATCAGTGCCGGCATCCCACGGATAGAGATCAAAATCTAACGACTCCTTCCATGAACAATCTTCAGTGCACAAATCTACACCACTTATACCAACAACCCAATCAGGGGAAGGACCTGTATGGAGCATAGTTCAATTGAAAGTTTGACAAATAATATTTCCTCAGCACTTACCAAACATGGACACCAAAGACACTTTTGGATGTGTGCGATCAACACGGAATTTCGAAGAAGTATTAGTATTCACATTCGGATACCAGAGACCAGCGGCTTTTATAAGCGTTCTCAAACGTGGACCTCTAGCACGCAGCTCAGTTTCTAAAGCTGATGGCGATCCAAACTCTGCCAAGAAGCGGAAGCCATCTGTGGCGATATGATTTTCACCCCAGAATGAAAAATTCGACTCATGTGAAGCACCAATGACATCTGAGAAATGTGTTAACCAAATTGCGAAAGGATAATCCTTCGGATGTGTTTCATTCGACCAAATACCCTCGAAAACGAACTACAGTAGAAAAACCGAGTTTGTATTACATACATAGTGTATATATCTCTAAAAAAGTTTGCACTTACGCTATATTTAGCTTCATCACAAGCGCAACATTCCTTCTTCACTGTATGCACATTGGTTTTCCGTTCGCATACGACCTTTGTTAATTGCCCATCGTCCGAGTACCATGCCCGTGGACCCTCATAGACCATAGCGGAAATAGAAATACAGCCCGAGCCCACGGCTGGCGCTGTCCACATTACTTGCACTTCCGTTTTAGGTAAGTCTTCTGCTTCCTGCACAGTGTTGACGCAACGGTCACTAAATTTCGTCAACGCATCACTAAAGAGTACAAATCGTCCAACTCGCTTGGGGCTTGCAGGCTGCGCACGACGGCCGGGTATGTGGGCCTCGGCAGTTATTGTGAAATGAGTGAAATGTTGTACCTTTTCATGGGTTCGTGCACCGATTAGCAAAACTGAAAGTAAAATAATGAAGAAAAATGTTTGACTAGTTTAAAAAAAAAACTTCCTTTCGTACGACGGACGTACTTAAGGTTTTGGAATATTAAAATTGCAAATAAGATTTTGAAAGTATTCAGTCAAAAACTATGTAAGGATGTGTATATTTAGCTACAAAAAAGTTCGAAAGCTCAGGTAATTTATTAAGTTTTTGACATTCATATTTGGAACAACCTTAATTTATTTAGTCGTCTCTTTATTTGAGCCGACACTGTTTCGTAAAGAAAGCATGTGCAGTGTTGCGTAACTGAACAACAGACCTTGCTAAGTGAGAGTTCCCACATCTCTAGTTTTTATACGTCAATTGGCATTTATTTCGCTATCTTTAAGAGCTGCCATACCTACATAGGGTAGAGAGTATTTTAGCTTTCTTTTCTATTTACTTCTATTTACTACTATGTAAAAGAAAGTCTATAACAGAAGGAGGCTTTGGATACTTCCTGAGGAGATACTTAAACAGAAGATTAAATTTTTAATTTGAATAATAATGGTAAAAAATTATTTTTTATGCCTTAGAACTTTTCCATCACTGTTTTGTTGCAAACAGCTGTTCGGTATTGACGCGCCTCCATTGTAATTTAAATTTGCCGTTACTTTGATTAAAGTCCCGTTCATTTATTATTATTGTTTTGCAAGCTAATTCGGAAAGCATTTTTTTAATACCAAAGTTTTTTTTTTTTCAAGAGAAACACTCATGGAGAAAATGGGTGGTACTCAAAATGACTTGAGTCAGTTCAGTGAATCCGATTGGAAAAAATGTGGAGAAATAAAAATGTGTTGTAAACAAAAGGTGTTTGTTTTCAGCTGTGTTCATTGCAATGAATCTTTCTTTCAAATTGCTATTTTTGCCCAACATTTACGGTGGAAACACCAAGCAGAGAATAATTTAAAGGAGTGCTCAGATAATCTAAGCTCCTACACAGTGGAGGAGCTGTTGAATCCTACAGATGGAAGTACAACCAATGAATCAATTGTAGAACGGTCAACTACGGATGAGGATGCTGCTACAACAACAACAGCTGCCACGGAGGAGGATGACACTGGAATAGGTAGTGATGAAGAATTAGAAAAGGAGATACAAGAACTGCTCACAAGTATTGCTTCGAATGACTGTTCCAGTAATTCAGGGACTGAACTTTCTGAGAATGATTCCGGATTTGAAAGCACAAGCAATAGACAAGGAAACCGCTGCTCCCATGGGGAAAATTTAAACAAACCTGAATTCAATCTGCCACTCAACTATGAAAGTGAAATAGTTAATGAATCTGAAACTTTGCATAGTAAAATAAATTCGCAAAAGGTAACCATTGTACGAAAAAATGAATCTGGTACTTACAGTAATGGTGCTTTCGCTAGCAATAGAAATTATTTGGAAGCACTACTGAAAGGGAGATTCCAAAAAACTGTAGATAATCCTATGGATTGTCGGAAAAAAACTGGTAATACCAAATTGATAATAAAAAAAATACATAAAAATAGAGTTGAAAAGAAAAGTAGGAGCACCAAAGAAAAACTAAATATTATTGACATTAGGAGAGTCGTAAAAAATAAGAATAAAGTTCCATTAAAAAAATATTTGGAGACAAACAAGTTTCTTTTTGGTAGCGATGATGATACTGAAGACTGTGTGATAAAAAACAACGAAAAAGAAGTTCTAAAGGAACAGCATGTCAAAATCTCACAACCCCAAGGTACTATTCAAAGCACTCTCATAGTGAAGAGTGCTCAAGGAGCAGCTACAAACTCGGAAACTTCTACTAATACAAAAACAATTCCCCGTACTGATGATAAAAATGGCGAACAATTTATAAATTCCGTACGCTCGGAATCAGGCCCTGACATCAATGATAAAGCAGTTAGCGAAAAGGTTGATGCTACGGGAGGAAAGTGTGGAAATTGTTTGCCAACTGAGATTGACAAAGGAAACGCAACAATAATTTGTACAGAAACAGAGGCAAAGGGAAATGTCAATGCTATACAATTCGAAGAAATCCCGTTAACTGGGTTTGAAGCGCCAGTACAAGATGGCTTTAGTGGTTTCCAAAGAGAATATATAATTTACAATGAAATTACTGAAAATGTCGTTTTAGCTGAAAAATCTGCAGGGCAACAACTAAAATGCAAGTCTCCAACAATAGATGATAATGAAAAACCACTTGATCTCAGCTTCAATAAATCTACCGAATTCACTGATATACAATTTGAGGAAATTTCAGATTTACTTTCAACTAATGCGTTGCATGCGCAAACTACTACTGAGCTGATTGTAGAAGAATTTGATAAGTTATTAGAACAACAATCAAATGCAACAAGCACTAACCCAACAAATTTTTCCGATTCTGAACACTTGCAAAACTCCGAAAGTATTGGCGAAAATCAGTTGCCCCCATTTTCCAAATTTTTCAAAAATAACGCAAATAGTTTAAAAAGTAATGATGGTTTTATGACTCAATCTACACCAAAACAAAAAACTATTGGTCAAAACACAATTATAAAGCGTGTATCACAGCAGAACCTTGATAAAGAAAATAAACCAAGCAAGCGCAAGAAAAAGGTAAATTTCGTTGAAAATTCAGCAGAAACAAATACAACTCAAAAATCGAGTATTGAAATATTAAGTGTTGATATAATAATGCCAAGTGAAGGCACCACATCCCTGCCATTAAATTTACATAACAGCAATGAAACCACAACCGATAGTCCTGAAAGCAAACCAATTACAAAAGGAGGTGACAATTCGGAATTAACCAATGACGAAGTAAGGGTAGAGGAGAGCACATGCTATCACCGCACGTCTGGAAGTATTATAGAGGACTTAATACCGGTGGGTAGTATAAACGTAATTGTGTTAAAAAAAATATATTATTTTTATTTTTCATATATGCAGTACGTAAAGATTAAAAAACCTACAGTAGCAGTACCATCTTGTGGCTCCCGTGTTGCAGCTGATAGTACAAGCGAACAGCAACCTGTAGCATTTTTAAATGAAATTGATTATGCGCCAGAAGATACGCTCAATCAATTGAAATTAGAATGCATGGATGATGAAAACAATTTATTTCACTCCACACTGGTAACTATAGAGAAATATTATAGCGAAAAATGGACCGTTATCTTCTGATTAATATTTTAATTTTTTTACAGCAAAGCAGTGCTAATCTCACGGCTTCATTTTTGAGTGAGGACCACAATAGTACAAGCGATGAAAGCATGCTTTTAAGCTTTGTAAGTAAAAAATTAATTTTAATATATTACTTTGGCATTAAATCCCATTTACTTTCTCCTTTTATAGTCTGACGAAGATCGGGAAAACTATAAATTACTACGTTCTACTGGAGTAAGTGAATTATTTGCAATATTTCTGCTTAATAATAACCATTATTTTAATTTATATCTTTACATATTGCAGTTACAAATCGTTATGACTCCGAACGTTGAAGATGATTTGTGCTTGTATAAAACGGAGGAGATGCGTACCAAGGCCAATTGTTTTGCAAAAATTTACTGTGAATTCAAATACCTTTGGAAAGTTGGCAATGGCGTAAAAAGCTATGAGCAAATAGAATTAAACTTTAGCAAGCTAATGCAACGCTTAAATGAACATTACAAATTTGAGCTGTCAATCGCACAAACTAAACGTATTGTAAATCTAGTCTCACTCTGGTACATGCAAACCTATCACAGATGGTTTATTGAGAAGAAACGTACCTCAACGCCAATACTTTATTACTTACAAATTTTTGCTTATCTACCGAAAACATCACGTCGTATTTTCTACTGCGAAGAGTGTCCACGTTATTTCCTTTCGCAGCAAAAATTCTTGACTCACCGTCGGGGACATGTTGGCGTTCCGCCTACGTGCGCCACCTGTCAAACCACTTATGCTAGTCGTGGAGAGCTACAATTACACACAAACCAATGTGCCACATTTAAATGCATTGAATGTGATAGCGAATTCAAAAGTGCTGCAGATTTGGAGTATCATCTACGCAATAATCATATGTTTCAGTGTGAAAAATGTGGCAAATTGTGCGCAACAGCAGCCGATTTAGATTGGCATGAACATCAATATCCAATCATTTGTGGTTTATGTAATCGTTTTTATGACACGGCGTTGGAGCTGCAGAAGCATCGACAGAACTCATTCCATTGGGACTATACATGCCGGACATGTGAGGTGTTTCTGCCGACTGCAACGTTGATGAAACAGCATCTCAAGCTGTGCAATGGCAATACAAATGCATGCCCTATTTAATTCAAATATACAAATATATATATATTTTTATTTTATAAATATGCATACATACATACGTATGTATGAATATTGTTTTAATTCAAAGTATTTATTATTGTAGTACAAAGTGAATGTATTTGGATTCCCAGTTTTTTTTTAGGTGAATTTAATAATTTTGTAAATAATATTTACAATGTTTATTTATACTTTTAATCAAAATAAAAAAAATGTGTAATGAAGTGCAAAACTTAAAAAACCAGCAAAAAATGTCTTTGAATAATAATTTCAATTTTCAGCGAAAAACGTCTTTAATTCTTTATGTTGTTTTTATTTCTTAACTATTTTTCATATTTTCCGTTACTTTTTGTTGCATATTTCACTATTTCAAACTATTTTTCTGTATAATATTTTTTAAAGATTAAACTATTAAAGAAGGTAAAAAATAAGCTTTTATTTGTTATTTTAATTTTGACCTGTTCCAAACCGTATGGTTCGCAGCAATAGAATATCTAAGACCTAGATTGTAGATATGTAGAAGAAAATGAAAAAAAAAAACAATAATAGCTTTATAATATTTAAACTACTTTTTTATATTTTTAACCTATTTTTAATATATTTATATATATTTAATGTTTTTTTTTTTTACAGATTTTTCACAATTCCTTATTAACGTATGTTTTACATTATCAATTTTTTTTGTTTTTATAAAAACTTAATTTTTTTATTTTTCTCAAACTGTATTGTTTTCAAATTTTTTTACTTATTCAAAATGGAAATTTACTTTGGTTTGCTTTATGCATAAATTTTTTATTTTATTTTTAGAATATAAAATTAAAAAAAAAAAAATTAAAACAATTAAAAATAAATTTTTTGTTAAAAACAAATTTTTTATTAAAAATAATTTTATTTTGGAATTTTATATATATTTTTAATTTTTTTTTTTTTAATTTTTGTTTTCATATTTTATTTTTTAATTTTATTTATTTTTTAATATTATTTTATTTTTTTT